TGTACCTCTGGTGCAAATTACTGACCTCTGTCATCATTTTAAGTGGGGGAACTTGCACAATCGGTGGCTGACTAAATACTTTTTTGCCCCACTGTATATAAATGTCTTGTTTCTGACAGAGAACAGGCTAATGGGACACTACGGCCCAGTAAAGGGTAAAAAAGAAATCGTTTGAACTTTTAAGGAGCTACTATTATTCAGTCCAGTCAGACCACTTTAGAGTAATAATAAGGTATTTATATTTAAACACACATACATTTATTTTAATACTAACGTTACGCATATTTTAGCAGATAGAACACAGATGCTGAGACAAAGAATCTGCAGTGAAGTTAAGTTTTATGGCCGAAGTGACACAACACTGCAAATTATGGCTGTATGATTATGATGTTTTATTCAAACACTTGACATTGTCAAATTGTTGTACTACGTGACTCAAAATTTTGCATATTTTTTCATAACTTAAGAAAGTGAAGCAAAATATTATATAAATTCTAAGTGTACTTCATTTTCCAAGTAGCTGGAGAGTGCAGCAATGTTTTATTTGACATAAATAAAACTGTGAGTCAGCAGTTTCCCACATTAGTTGTAGCACTGAATTTGTCCCCGCAAAATGATATCCAACACTCCCCAAATAATGCTCAATTTAATTAGCACTTTTGTTAATTTCTTAATTAATTGAGTCCACCTGTCATCCCAGGCGTAAATGAGGTTTTCAGTCTCAGGCCAGAATGAAAGCCAGCAGGTCTCTGAGTTTTGTAATTGACTGTCTGACAGATGTTTACAGGGAGAAAATGTGTGAAACGTATTATTTTTGTCAGCGGGACACAATTTCATTGTTGATAATTATAAAGGCAAAGCAGTGACAGCATATAGCTCAGTTTTTTATGGACGAGAGTTATCATATCTTTTTAGTACTTGCAAATGAACAAAAGTGCATTGTACCACATAACAAAGGGCACTTGGATGTGGCGCTGGAGCACCATAATCTGAAAAGAAACCTCCTCCTACCTTCAAATTTACAACCAGAAATGTTCTGTACACTACAATCAAAGAGGTTACAAACGTTCACTCAAGCATTGTAAATACTCTGAGTGGCCATGATATGCTGTGAGCTACCTGTTGAGCCCATCGCCATGATGACAGACTACTGCTGTGTTGCTGGTCTCCCCTGCCTGCTCCTTTCCACGTCTGCCTGCACACACTGTGAAACAAAGACCAGAAAGGGCAACAAAACAGATGTGGAGACACTGCAGTGAAACAAGTTTGCTTAAATAATGCTACACAAATAAAGGTAACGTTTTCTTTACCCTCTACAATCCAGATTGCACTCTGCTATTCTGATTTGAGGTCCACTTTTAGTCTCATTGGGTCTTCATAAACGATGCATGATATGTTACAAAGAAAAAGCAATGTAGGTCACTGAGCTACTGTTTTGAAATTCCCATATTATGAAATGTAATAATTTGGTTTACTTTAAACGATGTTTAAAGCAAAATCTAAAGAAAAAAGTTACTTTCAAACTTTGTAAAAAGTTTCTTTTCACTACAGGAGAGTAAATACGATTTGAGGGAAAAAAGCAAAGCGAAAGACTAAACAAAGACATATTTCAGTTGTTGGGGTTAAACTGTGGAATGAAGTTGACATCAATATAAAAATGGTTTTGGTCTTTAAAAGAATGCTAAAATATATTTTGGTGGGTTCCTCGTGATAATATTGTTGCTGCTGTCTGTTTCTTGTTGCTGTTATTTCATTTTCTACTTGGAAAGTAGGGTAGCTTTAATGATAAGAACATAGGCCAGGCATCTATACACATGTTCAGTGGTTCCTATATTAATTGTTTTGCACATTCTGTGTAGTCTGTGATGACTGAATGAATAAATAAATATCAATGTATAAGAATTAGTTGATTTTTCAGGTAATAAGGGCCTTATAAGAATTTCACCATATTCTGATAATGAAAAAAAAAAAAAAACTAACATCGTCATCATATTTTTTATTTGGCTGTCTGACAGCTTTACATTTTCAGGTTTGCTTTTGGTGACTTCTCATAACAAGAACCTCTAATGTCATGAAAGCTGCATTTATCAAGTGTTTTACCCATGAAAACATGATTAAGTAGAGCTATTTGGATGATAGGTTTCCCCCTCCGCTGTTATCTCTCCACCTACTGTGAACTGTTTGACAAGCTTAATATGAGCCAGTGATTTAGTGCAAATTTGCTCGACAGAAAATTGCAGGCAAAGATTGTCTCATAAAGGTGTTTTTGTGTGGTCTTTGGCCTGTTAG